AAATAAAACTGCAAAACAAGCAAGGTCAAACATCTTATGTGTGATGCACTGAAATTCCTGCTTCTGTAACTTTATAACTTCGCTGTGTAACTTTATAACTTTACTGGCAGGATGATAGGCTTCAGTTCACCTCTAGGTCTGCTTCCTCAGCACCAAATCAGAAAACTCTAGTTATGTCAAGTAATGGCAATTTCAGCATTCATTGAAACACGGAGCTGGATTAGAGGGCTAAAATGTGAAAACAATTTTAAACAAGGTGGCTGGAGCCAAGCTTTGAAGTCCTAGGATTAGCTTTGAATGGTTGGAGTCAATGAAAATTACATGGGTCCATTTTAAAAACAAACATCACCTCACTCAAAATCTTCTTCAGGTATTTAGGCTTGATTAAAGGATTTCATTTTACTTCTGGAATGGTTTTATACTTTTGAAATTAATTTACTTAAAAGGATAGTTTATGTAAAATGTAGTAAAATATTAAACTTTTCTTTTTTACCTTAAACTTTCAAGTAAGTTTAGGCCACATGGCAGGTCAAAAAAATTACAGACCACAAAATATATACAAAAAGAGGTTTTTAATTTAAATAACAGAAACATCATATAATTTAGGTTATAATGTTTAAATCAATATTCCAACAAACACTGTAAATATTAAAGTTGGAAGGGACATTAAAACTATTCTATTCTAACCTGTCATTTTATAGGTGGCAAAACTGAGGATCAAGCAAGAAGGTTGAGTGACCTGCCCACAATCTTTACATTCAAGTGACCTGATTTTCAACCTAACGTACCTTCATTATTCTGCTGAGAAATGAGTCTCTTCCAGGGCTGTTCTGACCTACGCATGAAAGGTTGAGATAAGGGGGCCTAACCTTGGAGCCTTAGTCAGTAAAGAAGTTGGTGAAAGGGTTTCTCCATTCTCACATAGCACTGTCACCTTTCCCTATGACACCTGGGTCTGGGTTCTGTGCCAAAATAGAGACAGAAAAGAAGACTGACAGCACGGCTACATCTGATAGGAAAACAAAACAAACCTGGAAATAATCCAGATATCAAAAGAGGAATGATTAAATAAATGATAGTACATCCATACGTAGGCATTAAAAAGAATGAGGTAGATCTAAGTGTATTGACATAGAAAAATCTCTAAGACACTATTAAGTGGAGACAAATGACACAAAATGGTATATGGAATATGATTTTGAGCTTAAAAAAGATATATACATACACACAAACACAATTACATTCATAGACACTTTCTGGCTATATCGGGAAGAAACTCCTCCCTGGGGAGTAGGGCTGAAAGATTAGGGTGAGAGACATCTTGTCATATGCCCTTTTGTATTGATTCATCTTTTTACCATATGCATTTTTTAAACTATAAAACTTATAGTTTAAAAAAGTGCTTTAAAGCAGAGATGGGAAATTCTATAGAGCCTTGGGTCAACTCTGTGGTATGGGAGATATGGATGGGGTCCATCAACGGTCAACTGACAATCTACATCTAATCTATATGATACATTATATCTAATTCTCTAGAAAAGACTTCCCAACCTTTTTCATGCCATGGTATGTGTATTAGTTTTTACTAACACAGTATGCATAAAAATGGTAACATGTTTACATACTGGAGTAAACTGGAGGGGATTTAGAAGCAGCTAAACAGGGCTTGATGAAAAAAATTCACTCCATTTTCTTTACATTACATAATTATTATAAGAAAAATAAGATAGAGAATATTATTGACAATATTAAATATTAACTTTGTATAGAACTTCCAAACAAAATCTATTTAAAAAATCTTCTAATTTCTATACCTAACAGCAAACTGACTGGCAAGCTTTGCTCTGGAGCAGCTGTAAAAGCCAAAGTGTAATTGTACTCTCCTAGAATTTAAAGGGAGACTAGAGATCATCTAGCCCAGCAAGGACTGAAACCAACATTTTAAAAAATGAAATAGAATAGAAAATAGTGGAGTGTTTTCCATACTGTAAGGGAAACTTATTTCAGAGATTGGGTGGTACGTGTGTGTATCGGGTCATGATGTAAAATATATTTCTTACTACGCATTGTTGTCGAAAGTCTGAAAGCTATTTACCTAAGGCTACATAACTAATAATCATACACTGAGAGCAGACAATGCCTTAAAGAAAGGTCTATGTAACACTTCTGGCAAGAGGTTGGCCATTTTCTTGGTGAAGAGTATTTGTACAAGGGGAAGCCAGCACAACCGGACTAAACCAAAGGTACGAAGTTTCCTCAATACAATCAAACACTTTGAGAGACAGAGTAGCAGGGATGCGGGGTCTGGGGACCACGCTTTCAGGGGACATCTATGTTAATTGGCATAACAAAGCTTATTAAGAAAATGTTCTGCACCCTACTTTGGTGAGTGGTATCTGGGGTCTTAAAAAGCTTGCAAGCAGCCATCTAAGATGCATCAATTGGTCTCAACCACTTGGAGTAAAGGAGAATGAAGAACACCAAACACACAAGGAAAGTATTGGCCCAAGAGACAGAATGGGCCACATAAACCAGAGACTTCATCAGCCTGAGACCAGAAGAACTACATGGTGCCCAGCTACCACCAGTGAACGTCCTGACAGGGAACACAACAGACAGTCCCTGATGGAGCAGTAGAACGACTGACTGAGACTGGAGGTGCCCCGGAAAGCACGGCCCCTGGTCTCTCCATCACCCCAGAACTAAATCAATTTCCGAGGCCAACTCTTCAGACAGGGATTGGACTGGACTGTGGGACATAAAGTGATACTTGTGAAGAATGTGCCTCTTAGACAAGTAGATACAAGAGA